CCGGTCCAGGGATGACTCAGCAGTGGCGTTGGAGCCTGTTGGTAATCAGTCCAAAGCGTCCCCGACAACAGCCTCCACAGTTTTATTATTGGAAATGGCAGCTCCGCAGGAGGCAGCTGCAGCCTCCCTGGCTGCTCTCTCAAGCATGCACAAATCCCATTTCCCCAGCACCAGTGTGTTTTGACATCTTTTACAGCCTTATATCTTGTACGGTGATATTTAAAATACAAACACGGAAGATACGTGCAATTATACCCATTACAGGGGACGCGGTTTTTATTGGAGAGGAAGCGAGGCGCGTGAAAGAGACCAAGAACAGAAGCGCTGACCCGGCGGCCTGCTCCTGGCTGCGGAAGATGAACGAGTCAACGCTTGGAGGCATAGCGCTCGGATTCAGTGGGAACCCCCCCTTTGGAATATTCCAGAGTGAATGTACTTTACCGCAAACCTTGTGCACGGCTCCGGGGTTAGACGTGGCAGGCTTTCGGCGGTCAATCACGGTGATACTAGCTCAGTCGGCAAAGACCTAATCCGGGGAAAATCATTCCTCTTCTGGGCTGAAGTCGTTAATATCGGTGCTAAACCGGAAAACGGCCGCACCTTTACGACCACTTCGACTGGAGTCCCCATTTGTCCTGTGGTTACTGCTGGGCCACCTGGACTTCACACGCCGTGATGCACGGGCCTCCTGGCTGGAGTGGAGCCGGCCGCCGTGGGGTCCACAGAGGGGCATGCGTGCGGTTTAGGCCAAGGCCTCCGAGTCCAGGTTCCAGAGGCCTGATTGGGTGCTGGCTGGGCCTACTGGACAGGAACGAAAACTCAGCCTGATCCTGGGAGCTGCTGGGAACCTCCAACTTGAAGAAGAGGCCGGTCCTGGAAGGCAGGCCCTTGCTCCCTCAGATGATGTGACGGGGGCTCTGACAGAGGCTTCTAGCAGGGGTGATGTTTCCGCCAGGAAATGCTTGGCAATGTCCTTAACATCTTTCACTCCTGCTCTTGAGACTGGGAGTGGTTAGGCCATTGAGTGGTTAGAGGCCAGATAGGCTGCTGAACACCCGCAAGGTGCAGGGTAGCCCCCACTGCGGGGTTACCGCCCCCTAGTGGTCAACAGTGGCGAGTGGAGGAAGCCTGGGCTGTGGGGTTGGTAACAGGGTATAAGGTGGGAATTCTGTCCCATGTGCTGGGCAGTAAGGAAAACAGCCCTACTGGGAGCAAATGAGTGGCTGACAGTGGGTGGAGGGGTCCAGAGCTGGGGCCTGGAGCAGGAACTCCGGGTCCTGGGTCGGTCACATGGACGGGGAAGCCAGGGTAAATTAGTCCACCTCTCTGCCAGTGTTTACTTATTCTCCAGTAGGGATAAGAGCACTGGTTATCTCTTACAGGCTTTATCTAGCACGTATGTGTCTGTGGGGGGCCAGGTGGTGCCAGATGAATTAGATAGTGGAATACATGCAGTGCTGTGTAGACAGGGTCACCTTGAACTCCAGACACATGATCTTGATCACAATGACACTAACCTTCTTAACATAATCACTCAACGTGTAGAATGGGGAACATTTCCAAGAAGTGTTGCATGGGCTGAGGTATGCCCAGCACTGTGCCCAGTGTACAATAGGCACCCATTATTCTACCCAGTCACATCGTGTTAAACACCACGTATCTATGCTAACACCCAAATGTAGTTCTCCAAACCAGACCTCTCTCACAGCCATGTAAATCCAGCTGCCTGCTCAGAAATGCCACTCATACCTACCTGACCTCTGAAAGTGAGCATGTCTCAAACAAACTCCTCATCTCCCCAGCCCCAAACCTGCTGCCCCTTTTTGGGGCTCCTCTGGGTGAATGGCACTCCTCCTTCCAGCTGTTGACAGAATTCTAAGAAGACCCGTTGATCCCTGCCCCCACTGACTTGTGAACGGGGTCAAATGTCCGTTCTGTGAGCAGGTGATTAGGTTCGGTTTGGTTCCACGGCACAGGTGACGTGGAGAAAGGGGCCTGACCTTTGGTGACCAGGATGCTATCAGGTGAGTCTGACACCGGGTGAGGCTCCTCCTGGCCAGAGGTCTAAGTCACCAGAGGGAGGTGACGTCATGGAGAACCTCTGCTGCTGGTCTTGTGGACGGAGGGGTTGAGGCGAGAAACGTGGGGGCATCTGGAAGAGGACAGTGGCCCTGGACATCCGGCCACAGGATGTGGGGACCTTAGTCCTACAACTGCAGGGACTGAATCCGGTCAACAGAGGGAATGAGGGATTGAGCTCAGATGTGGGTTCTTCCTCAGACTTTCCAGAAAAGAGTGCCATCCAGTCATGACCTTGGTTTTATCCTTGTGAGAACCTGAGCACCGAGCCCAGCCCCATCCTGTGGCTCCTGACCACAGAGCGACCCATTCTAATAAGTGGGCGTTGCTTGAAGTGCTTGGTAGTTTTCTACATGGAGATGGAACACTCTCACCCATCTGTCTATCTAGCATCTGCCTGTCTGTCTGTCTATCCATCCAACCTGAACCTCCCTACTTGCTAACCCAAAGGCAAGTGACAAAGACAGAAAACCTCTCTCCAGGGCTCTAGAGTCGGCCCACTGTAAACCTGTTGTCTATTCATCCGATTTGAAGGTTATCCAGCCAATATGTTTCTCTTCCTTCTCGAAGCCTTTTTTGGCACAACTCCCCTTCCCATGGCGGTGAGGAAGGGAAAGGAAGGATAAGGAGCTGCTTTAAATGAGTCACTGAAAGACACTCCCAGGCGCTCGGCGAGTCTGGAGGTGTGAGCGTGTGGATAGGATGAGCAACCTGAGGTCTGTGTGTGAGACGGCGCGTCTCCCAGCCCCCGGCATCGCTTGACGTCAGAAAGTCCCGGGTTGTCGTCTTGCCTTATTTAAGGACTGAGAAACGATGTCCTGAGTGCCTCTGAGTCTCAGTTCCCTCATTTAAAAATAATAGTTCTGAACTATTGGAATAGTGGAATGAGGAAGTGAAAGGGATGCCCTTCTGGTGCTTGCTCAGGGGAACAATTGGCAGCTATGATGATGAAGATGATTACTAATACTTTCTCCCTCTAACGGATTGATGACTATGTGTATAGTTGGGTCAAAAGGTGTCTGTCACTACCCCCTCAGTTTTGACCCGGGAGAGTGATACAGAAGAGAAGAACACAGGCCAAACTCCCTGCCTTGCAGGCACCAGGGAGCCCAGGGCTGTCCCAGAATCGAGGCTGGAACTCCTTCAATTCCCGGGTGAGGTCAACATCAACACATTCGTGTGGAGTCCTGCTCTCACCTTACAGAGGCCATGGTGGCATCAGGTAGCGGGCAAGCTTGCCGTCAGCTGCATGCACACGGGTCAGTTACTCAGCTCTCAACCTTCATTTCAGGTCATCTGGGCAGGTCTGAGGTTTGGTCTCAGGGCTTTGCAAGAGGACGCTGTACCCAGGAAGCCTGGCTTGCATCCAAGGTCAACATATTCTTTAACGTCCTTGGGGACGAGGTGGGAGGGGAGGCCTCTTGCCGGGCTGCCTTTTTAAGCTGTGACATTGACTGACACACAGCTTACATTTCTGTTCTCCTTCTTTAAACAAAGTTGAAAATAATCTTCGATAATCTTCGATTCCTCCAAGATTCTGACCAGAGTCAGAGCCTAAAGAGACCTGAGAGACAGATGTGATGAACAGATGTGATGTCCCTCTCCTGTCACCTTAGATTATGGCACTGGGAAATGTCCTCCTGCACCATCAGGGGTCCGCGTGCCCTGGAATAATGTTATTTCACCCCAGACAGCCTTCAAGACATTGTACGTGTCCCATGATATTTCTGGTGAGCGGACGGCCATGCTACTCAGTAATAATATTGAATTAAAACACTGTCAAGTTGTAATTAATTTCCTCTCCTTTTTATATCTACATTTCAGAAGACTCCTGCAAAGAATGGAAATGATGGGAAAATCTTTTCAAGATTTTAAAGAAACATAATACGATTTGGTTTCGTATTGGGGGAGAAGGTGCTTTCGTTTCATGTTTTAATATCTGTCCCATCTGTTTTCCTGGTTCTCTCGTTCCAGAATGAACCCGCTGTAAGAGAAGCAGGTGGTCAGAGGCAGGTGGTGGGGACCTGCTGGGGGCTGGGAGCCAGGCAGGTGGGTCAGACGCAAGGCCGCTCTGCCCACCAGCTGTGCGGTGGCCTTGGAACAGGTACCCGACCTCCCTCTCCCTCGGGGTTCTCATTGCAGAACAAGAGCCCCCCAGCCTCCCTGAGGCAGTGGCGAGGATGCAAGGTGATGCCTGCGCCGTGTTGGGAGCTGTGCTGTGAGTACTGCTGCTGTTCTTGTGCCAACTCTCACACCCTCGGCACGACCGGGGGCTGTCCGAACGAGGTGACCCCGTGACATCTTCACACGCCTCCCCCGGGTTGGCTGTGGCTGGAGAATCTACCAAGTCGTGTGGAATGTGCGACAATGCAACCCCGGCGGAGGCAGAATCAGTGGGTGGCTTAGGCCGCTGGGATCCATTCCAGATAGAGACTGGCATTGGCTGCTTCAGCGTCCATCGCTGGAAGATGCTCGGAGTCGGTGCCATCCAACACACGCTGCCAGTGGTGGGGAACGCTCCTCTCCCAACAGCTCCTGTGATGTGGCCAAGAGGACTGTTGGAATGAGCTTCTCCACGGAGCCACTCAGCAACATGAATTAACAGCCTCAGCTTTCAGTTTGGAAGGAAGCACTGGTCCTTGCACTAATCAACTTGCATCCGTGAGTTCACTTACCAGTTACAGGCTCGGTTCTACCCACAAGGGAGCTGAGCCTGAAGAGATGAGAGAGCTGAGCCTGAAGAGGTGGGCGCAATGGTCCCTGCGGTGCGGGGACAGGCAGCAGATCACAGCGAGGCTCCCTGCCCCCACTGGGTGTCCTGCTGTATCTTGACTGATTGGTTGAGTGGCTGCTTAAATTATTATTTTAAATGAAAAATTTGGATGAGGACAGTTTGGATGTGGGAACGATGAACCTGAAAGCATCAAGGTCCTGGTAGGGCCAGAAATAGAGTGTTGGGGACCAGCTAGAATTGCAAGAAATATCAATCCTGCTCTGTAACCGGGATTGGTTTGTTCTGGTTACAGAAGGCACATTCTAACCGGGCTGGGAGTTGCAGGTGGGACCTGGGAGCTCACCTGGAAATGCAGCCCATCCTCCCCCTCAGGGAGCTGCCTATGGCCATGGGAAGATGAACAACCTGTTAAAGAAACCAGAGCCACCAGCCCTTTGGAGGCCCTCAGCCCTTGCACATCACTAGCCCTTTGAATACCCCCGGCCTTTGTGTACCCGCAGGTCTTTGCAAATATCCGCTCTGCATTACCTGTGAACTGCCCATTTGGCCTACTCTTTGCCTCCTTCCCCATGTAATCTCTGCCCTTCTACCCAACCTAAGCAGCTGGCTTTTGGTGGGGTGGAGAGAGCAGATGTTTGTGGCTTCCCTGCTGCCCTCCCATGCTGCCGGCAGGATGGGAATAAACACTCATATATGATCCAACCCTGTCTCTGCTGATTTGGCTCCAGTAGTGACAGGCAGCCCGGACCCACTGATTGTCTGGTTATAGTCCTTTGGTTTGATGAAAGGCTACCATTGGCTCCAGGACCTGCCGTGGCCAAGTGGATGTGGGACCCCGGTCACCCCGCTGTACCTCCAAAGTGTGGTGGTGGCCCGCAGAGGAGCACCACGCCTTGACCTTCTCGGACGGACACCGCGCTTCTCGTTTTGGTCTCAAAGTCTTCAATATCTTGGAAAAGAAAGAGGAAAAGGTTTAGAATTAGTTATTTTGCAGAAAGAAAAAAAAACATTATAAGGAAGAATCTTAAACTATTTTTATCATTAACATAACTAATGAACGCTCCTCGTTGACGGACCAGAAGATCAATTTAAATACTCTGATTAAAGAGTCAGTAAGAAGCACATGGCTTGACATCACTCACTGTCTGTTTACTCCCTTCTCCCCGGCAGCCGGAGTCCAGCGGGGAAGGAGGTGAGATTTGGGAGGAAGAACAGGGGTTTGGAGGGTGAGGGTGCTCTACACGATCAAGGGAAGGACATGATGATTCAGGACCAGACGCTGGGGACGTCCTTGGAAATCCAGGAAAGTCGTGAGCAGTGCCCCTGGGAAGGGCTGCCTTATAAGGAGGAAGAAACCCAGACAACAGCTGTCCCTGCTGATACAAGATGGACCACAAGGCGTGAGCTGGGTAGACATCGTTTTTGGGGGTAGTTTTTGGCGGTAGTTTTCGGCGGTAGTTTCAGATTTCTAGTGAAACCACAGGAGAGTGTTGGGTGGGTCATTTGAGCAGATAGGAGGTGCAATAAGCAGACCTGCTTAGCAGAGCTGTTATGGGGATTAAAATGTTTAATCCCCCAAATCAGCAGAGAATAAAGTCAGTGCTCGATACCTCGATACGCGATAACAACTTTGGTTATGACGTGCCCAGTCATGAGGGCACGCCATTATATTTCTCTCTCACGGATGTGAATCTCAGACGCACAAATCCACAGACACAAGTTAAATAGCACACTTCAGTTCCAGTAAAACATTTTGTAGGTGAGTGATTCCATTTGAAGCACCCACACTGTGTGTCTCTCTTAAGATATTATTTCCCAAGTGAGTTTCTTTCTGCACACTTCGCTTTCTAGTCATGAAAAGTAAAAGAGTTGGTCTGGCCAATGTGGTTCAGTGGTTGAGCATCCACCCGGAGGTCACCGTTCGATTCCAGGCTGCACATGCCTGGGTTGCAGGCTCGATCCCTAGTAGGGGGCGTGCGGGAGGCAGCCAATCCATGATTCTCTCTCATCATTAATGTTTCTATCTTCCTCTCCCTCTCCCTTCTTCTCTGAAATCAATAAGAATGTATTTAAAAACTAAGAGTTTGGTGAAATAGATGCAATAGTTCTGATTTTGTGAATGTAATAACTCTTACATATACTCTACTTTTAATAATAAACATACTTGACCAAGATGGACTCCATTCCCCTCACCGACGCTCCCCTCCCTCCCCACCTGCTCTTCACCAGCTGCCCCTTGGGTTACCCTAACTCAGGACCAGGCTTGCCTTGTGTGTTTCTTATGGAGGATTTCTAATCAAATATCCCCTTTCTCCTTGGCCAGAGAGACGCTAGGTAAGCCCAACTCTACGGGCACTGTGGCCACAACTGCTGCCTTGACCTCTGAGTCCTTTGTGACTTGCTCCATCCCTTCAAACGTCACTCAGTAAGAACCAGCAAACAGACTGTTTAAAATAAAAAAGCCAAAACATTGAACTATTGTTTCTACATCTAGTAGTGATAACAGGGAGGAATATTAAGGTTTTCTTTCTTACTCTTGTCACAGAAAGGCTCCATGAAATTGTCATTACTTTGTAGTGGCCACAATACCAAACACTGTCACCAAGGAGCAATGAGGAACCGGATGATTCTATGAAATGAAGCAGCTGTGGAGGGAGCTGCTCTCTGACAGTGGTCCCCACTCCCTGTCACATCAGCCATGCTCCCTGCTTGACGGAAGCTGGGAGTTTCGATGGCACCACGGATGCCAGCAGGCCTTGTGCCCACTTCCACGTGAACAGCATCCGCCTGCGCCCCCACTTCTCCATGCCGTTTAGGGTTGCCGTGGGGTTTCTATTCGCTACAGAAAAGGAAATCTGCTTCTCTCCAAAGTCAGTCAGTCCTGTGAGCTGTCAAACAGTCATTGGAAATGGGGCTAGTTTGCAGGTTTCAGTTAATAATTCAGATTTCAAAGCTGTGTAATGGCTCACAGAACAGAGACAAGACATAATTCCGCCTTGCTTCCAGGAGGGGCCATTTCCTGTGAACATGCTGCGAACAAGATCTATTTTAAGTGTCCGACCCGGTTTTCAGCTTCCCCCCTGCTAGTAGGAAACATGGTGTAATTCAGACCATTCTGAGGTGAGGGCCACCGAGTTAGCAGCCACCGGGGCATCCAATGAGATTTCCTTTGCGATGTAAAATCATTAAGGACTCTAGATTTATATATATATATATATATACTGATATAACAGAGGAAGGGAGAGGGAGAGAGATAGAAACATCCATGATGAGAGAGACGTGCTCACCCACTGAGCCACACTGGCCGGCCTAAGGACACTAGATTTGTTTTTCTACAGGAGAGGCCAGAGGGAAGAACCAGCTTCTATTTTTGTTCTGTCCTTTTTTGCTAAGAGAATACGGCTTAGGGCAGTCATGGCGAACCTTTTGAGCTCGGCGTGTCAGCATTTTGAAAAACCCTAACTTAACTCTGGTGCCATGTCACATATAGAAATTTTTTGATATTTGCAACAATAGTAAAACAAAGACCTATTTTTTGATACTTATTTTATATATTTAAATGCCATTTAACAAAGAAAAATCAACCAAAAAAATGAGTTCGCGTGTCACCTCTGACATGTGTGTCATAGGTTCGCCATCACTGGCTTAGGGTGAGCTCATGGCCGGAGATGGTCTCAAACTCTCCAATATGTGGGGAGATTACTATCACCCCCAGGTGACCTGCAGGCTGTCCTTGTGCTCAGGTGCAGATCCTGCAGTGCTGGTGGCTGTCGGAGTCCCCGATGGTCCAGGGGCCCTTGTCCAGCCACCCTGATCACCAGGGCTTAGGGAACCCTGTGGCTTTCTCTCTGGTTTTGGAGGAAGCCTTTGGAGGAAGCCTTTGGCAGGAGCAGAAGCAAAAGTGCAGGCGCAAACAAGGCTCCTCTCCAAAGACCGGCAGGAAGTGCCTGACGAGGGCCCATAAACCGAGCCTTCCAGCATCACTGGGCCATATGCTCTCTCCTGGCACCACCGAGGTGCAGGGGAGGGACGGGGGCCGCGGAAATGGCCTTAACATGAAGTCCAAGCGCCGCTGCGGATTGCGATGGCCAATTGTCAGGCGAAACCATTTCCACAGCCGCCACGTGTGGGAATGAATCTCAGCATCATCCGAGGAGGAAAACAGTGTTTGCCGCCGAAGCCCGAGGACCACATCGGAGGACGTGCTCCGGGCGCCAGCCTGACGCAGAAGGAGGCACCGGGCGGCCAGCTCTCCCGCAGGAGCTGGGAGGAAGGCTCTGGGGACCCGGTCCACAGACCCGAACCAAGAGGGCGGCCGGAGGACACGGGACCCCTGAGCTGTGCAGAATCTGCATCCTATTCATCGGCCCTGCCTCTAGTTGCACGTTTGAATTCCTTTATGTTTTAAATCTTTTCTTAATAGATTGAGAAAAACCACTCTGTGCCAGACACTCATGAAGAGTCCCTTTCATCCTCGGGGCAACGCTGGGACACAGGTGCCACTGTCACATCCATCCAGCTGAGGTTCCCGAGGTCCAGCAGCCGCCGGAGGACATCACTCCAGGTCAGGACAGGCGGAGAGGAAGGACGCAGCCTGGTTCGGAGCTCGCAGCCAGTCCAGCTGCTACCCGGGCCCTCCTGGCCCCGCACCACAGAAAACTGGCACCAACTGTCGCTCAATGTTCAAACGAACAAACAAATGCAAAAATTCAGTGCCTTTTCAGAGTTCCCTGAGCTGGGGAAGACTGTAATTTTAGGTTTTAGAAATAGCTTTGTTTCTGATCGCCTCATTCCCCCAAATCCTTGGTGTTTCCTCTCCAGGTATATTTTTCAGTTTATCCTGCAACCTGGCATCTGTGTGAACAAGGTACTCAGTCTCTCAAGTTTTGAAAAAATATTTTTATTTTTATTGATTTCAGAGAGGAAGAGAGAGGGGCCCAGAGATAGAAACATCAATGAGGGGAGAGAATCATTGATTGGCTGCCTCCTGCATGCCCCCCAGTGGGGATTGAGCCAGCAACCCAGGTAACCCAGGAATGGAACTGTGACCTCCAGGTTCATAAATCAATGTTCAACTACTGGGCCTCAGTCTCTCATCTTGACCAACCTACAGAGACCACCCCCCCCCATACACACACAAGCACACACATGAACACGCGCACACACACGCACGCTCACACACGCTCTAACTGTGCTTGTGTCTCTATCAGTCATACTGATTCAGTAAGGTGCTGCCTGAACACTTCACACCCAATATGAGATATGCAGGGCTGCAGCACTCCAGCCTCTCCCCCGTCATTCAGGTCTGAGAACCTCCCCGCCCCCGTCTTCTACATCCCCGGAGACCACCCTCTCTTTTAGGAGCAGGGAAAGCAAAATGCCCCCATGTTCCTCTTCAAAGAGGCCCTCTGCCGCCAGCTCTGGAAATGGGTGGCTGTGCCCCAGTTCCCACAGCTCCTAAGTACAGGAAACACACTTTAATTCTGAATGCTGCGGCTCTTGGGGGCATTTGCTGAGCCACCGGGCTAGACAAGAGGCTCTTAACCAGAGCTTCACCCAAGATGCCCACCCTGGGAGCTGCCCCCATTCAGAGACGGTGCTCAGTTCCTCTCTCTCTGCACCTCGAAAGCAATTTCAGTTCTCTGTGACTTTGAGGGCGTGGAGTCTCATTTTCAGCTCTAAGATTCTTCAGCCCTCCTTCTGGCTTTCCCCCTGCAGAATACCATGTGACCTTCCCGGGTCTTTCGGAAGAAGGCTCAGCGTCCGCAGCTGGGCTGAGTCCCCAGGACAGAGGAACCCCCGTCACCTTCAGCACGCAGGTCCCATGCAGAGCTATGGCCTGTGTTTGACCGACCACAAAAGATTTTAGTGGGCGAGCAAGTGCAAGTACCCTGCACAGCACAAGGGGATGGTGAAAGATGTCAGGAAGAATTCTCGCGTTCTGCGTTA